TTGATTTCGATTTTTATATTGTATCGCTATGCAAATTATTATTTGAAAATGATATTGAAAAAATATTTGATTCATTTAAAAGTGATCGAATTTTTATTGATCGTCATTGGACAAATGTTCAATGTTATTTTGATAGAGTTTCCTTATGTCAACATATATCATCAAATCGAATAATCAAACCTAAATTATTTCATGGTATTATGTAAGACATTTTTTGAGTTTTTTCATAATAGATATATATGTTTTATTATTATTATAATTATTATTTTTAAGAGATTATCGAATGATTTTTGATTGGGAAGATGTTAAATATATGAAAATTGATTTATGTCCATCAATTTATTCATTTCTTAGTCAATTTGATAAAATATATGCTTGTATTAGATCCATTCAATTTAATATAGGTAAGTGTTTCATTGTGTTAAAAGACAGAAAAGAGATTTGTTTACGTTGGATTATTTTTCGAAAGAAAATCTCTTTTAAAATCTTCATTTATTTTGTCTTTTTTTTCCTAGAAGAGCATAAACATGTTAGTTCCAAAGAATATTCAGTATTTTTACAGTCAACAATGAATATAATAGATCATCAATTGACTGATATTCATTTTCGATATGTTACAAGACTTGACTTTGGATCTGGTTTTTGGCGTGATGGTGGTAAATTACAGTTTTATATTTGAGACTATCGAAAATAATTTTTTTTCTCAATTCTCTCTTATATTGATACAGAAATATTTCTGTATTATTATCTAGAAGTTTAGTTTTGAATAATATTTGATCGATTGATAGAGATAATACACGACATCTGAAGACTAGTAGTAGAGACTATCTCTAATTGAGTCGTTTAATTGCTCTCCAATATATTTCGTTATTGAAGAGTAATGATATATCGTTAATTATATCAATTACCTCGATAAAGATTCCAATAAGTTAATTATCTGTCTAACATGAAACTAAACGAAATTTGACACTTTAGAAGACCTATTCAAGGTACGAAAACATTCCTACTGAAATCAAATAAACAAAATCAATGAAAAATTGACTTAGTTTAATTATCTTTGACATATCGAAGATAAATGCGCGTACGAAAAATATATTCATACAATGATGTTTTCATAGAAAGATAAGTTAGAATCTTCCATAAAATTCCGGGTGTGGGGTGTGGGTATGAGTGTGGGTGTGAACATTTGCTTCTCTACACCAGGCTTACCGATTAGGGGGGGGGGATGCCGGGGGATATCCCCCCAAATTTCGGACTATGTCTGCCAATTTTTTTGCTGGTGGCTGTGTACATTTATCTATGGAAAAACATTCTGCTAGTTTTGCAGGAATCATACAGAACTAAAGCTTCAAAATATAAAGTTCTTCATCAAACGAACTAATCTGCTGTTTTCATATAGTAAAGCACACACACCAAACATGTTATCTTACTATCTGCCAAAAATGCAGCCAAGATCAATACAAAGACATTGCCATCAAAATTCTGCAGAAAATAAGACTTCAAATAGTTGTCTTCAATAGAGAAATCCAATTGCTACATTTCTTCTAAATTCTCAGCGAATATAGCAGTGAGAAGTTCAATCTTTTAATTATTTGATTCAGACTACTCGTCAGACTCTGTTTAAACGGAAACATACATATGTAGGAAGCGTATCTATTTTGTTTAGCTTTTATTATTATTCATAATCGTCATTTTAAAAAAGAAAAGTCATATAACCAGTCTGCATGCGCATGAAAAAGGAACAAATGTTTTCTTTCATCTCTAGCTCTTTCAACGTACTTTAATTAATATCTAAAGAACGAATGATAAAAGAAAGCGATTCTTTTGTTTACGTATTTTGTATATAAAGACTTGTTATACAATTTTTCTTCATTCTGAAACTGACGGCAATTCAGGAAAAGGTATAAGTTATTGTTAACAAAGTACGTTGAGCACATTTTAATATTTCTATTTCCAAACAAGCACCGCTATCAAAGTAAAATACAAAATATAAAACAATACACTGCTTCTTTATTTCTAAGTGGTAATGGAACAATATCACTTTTTTTGTAAAATTTGTTATAGATTTTTATCGATTTGATGTTATACTAGGACAGCTATGACTTCCAGGGCAGCATATCCTAGTATTAAAATTTCTTGTCCAATATGTTCAAAAACAATGCTATTGAAGAATTGGAAAAATCATTGTCAAACAAAACACCGCATGCATTTATCTGAAGAAAAATTAAAGAAAGAATATGAAAAGTTGAAACAAACAGCTGGCTCATCAACGTGTTTGTCGGCATCAGAAAATGTCGACTCGACAATCAATACTTTGTTTTCTACGAAGAATTTTTCATTAACCAGAACTGCTTCAGCAATAAATACAACTGATGATCAAAATATTAACGATTGTATTAGTGATGACAATTTCACCAACATTTCTACTTCTCAGGATCTACCAATGGCAACAACAAATGATCCAAAAGAAAAAGAGTCGTTATCAAACAATCATCAATTGGTGTTATCAACTGCCATATATGAGAATATGAATATAGAGATAGAAGGTATGATCAAAATTTTTTAATCATTATAACAGATAATATTTGTTGTAGTGGTGATCAACGAAGCAGAAAATCAACATACCGTTTCACTTTCATCAGCTGAACCGACAGACATAGATACTCATTTGCAAGAATCATCAGGTATTTATTTCTGATAATTCTATCTTCAATAGTAGATTTCTAATTTTATACTATGTGCTATTTAGCGCAAACAAAAACAAGAGAACAACAGGATAATGACATGTATTCAGATACATCATCGGATTCTGACAGTGAAAGTCAAAATTCTAACTACTGCAGACCAACCACTGCTAATGTTATACAAAAACAAACGATTGATATTGATAACCCAGATCGACCTATTACAACATCATTTCTTTCAGGTGTTATTTTTATAAATATCCACGAGATGCATTTTATCGATGAACAACGTGCAAAACATCCACATATTCCTTGGTATCCTCGAAATTTCAAACAGCATAAAAAACAAAAAATAAATTATAAACCTAGCAGCAATTGGTTCACCAAGGAACGTCAATGGTTAAGAGCGGTGTGCTCTAATGGTAATTATGGATTACTCTGCACCTACTGCAGCGAGTTTGCTTCTGACAAATTGAAAATTGAAAGAAGCGATGGGGCTTTTGTTGTCCGACCATTTTGGAAGTTAAAACATAAAGGGATTGAAGGTACGCAATCGACAACATCAGACTTTTATAGCATGTTAAAAGCCAGAATAATATTTACAACATTAATTTATAATTTCAGGAATTCGTGAACATGAGTCAAGTGATCTTCATCGATCATCGAAAGAACGCCGAATCATATCAAAAAGCATTGAAGCAAATGGAGACATTATTGGACAATTAAGATGTACCAATATGCATCAACAAACAGAAAAATATTTATCGGTATTGGTTCAAGTATTCTGGTGTATCATACATGAAGAATTACCTCTGAGAAAGTTTAAAACACTCATTCAGTTGTTGGATAAAGTTCAATGTCCTGGTGTTACGGAATGGATGAAACTATCAAATAATAAACAAAAGTACTACAATAGAAGTTATCTATATTTGAAAAAGATGCTTTGAATTTGATTATTTTTTCAGGTATTGGGGAAAGGAGGCGATCTCTGAATGGCTTTTATCAATACACTCTTATATATATCAACAGCAAATATCTTCAATAAAAAAGACCGATTTTATTAATATAATAGTCGATGAAACACAAGACATATCTATACGCAAAATGGTTTCTATTTGCCTGAGATATGTTGAAAAAGATACTGGTACAATACAAGAGCAATTATTCAAAGTTGAACCTACTTTAGATACAACTGGAGAAGGTAATAAACATAGCTTTAATAAATTACAGAACATAAAAAAGGTATGTTTATAGGTTATTTTTTCCTCATCGAAAAATTTATTGGTCAGTTGGAAAAGGATGCTAACAAAAGATTTATTATAACTGCTCAAACCTATGATGGGGTTTCCAGTATGAGATATCAAACAAGTGGTCATGTTCGAGCGCGATTATCAGCGTGGGGATTTTACATCTATTGCCGTAGTCATCTTCTCAATTTAGCTGTCAAAGATGCAGGAGAAGATTACTTCCATGATTCTTTTGACACAATCAAAAGTACATTAGTATATATTCGTGACAGTCCACAAAGACTCGAAATTCTTTTTAATTGTCAAAAACTAAATGGTACAAGTAAGAAAGGTATAGGCTATTTTCAAAATCATGATAGTTTTTACACTTTCGCACATATTCTATAGGACATACTGTCCCGAAAGCATCACGAATCAGATGGAGTTACAACTATGAAATTCTTCGTTTTACTGTTAAGCATTATTTACCAATTGTTCAAACTCGAAGAACAATTTCACAATTAAAGGGCGATGGATTTTCTGATGCCAAAAGGTATGCTTGTTTTTTATTAAAATATGAAACAGTATTTGAAATATGTATTTTGAAAAATATCTTTATAATATGCATGAAATTTCTTCGTCAAATTGAATCACGTGGAGCTTGCCTAGATAGCTTTTCATTACATGTAGAAGTAGCTGCTACTTCTATTAGTAAAGTTGTTGAAGATTTCGATTTTCAATCATTTCAATCTTTAATGAATGATCTTTATCAATATACACCAACAATTACTTCTACTGCTAATTCAACACGAAGTAGAAGAAACGAAATGCTAAGTATATCAGTATCAGAAGATTTTGATGAAGATAAATTACGCAACAATGGAGAAGAAATGATAACATCTGTTTTAACGTCTTTATCAGGTAAGTTCGACAGTGAAGCGAAAGATTTAGTCAAAAATTTAACCATGCTATCAACGCCATCCAATTTTGCACCTGATGAATTATTGCAGAATAGTTTAATTCTTACATATGCTAATGAAATTTCATATGAACACACAAGTGTTGATAAAAGAACTTTTAAAAGAACTGATTCGCCTTTATTAATTTTCAATCGACTAAAAGAAGATGTTCATTCATTTTTGGTCTTAGCGAAAGGACTAAACACAATTCAATCAATACTCCAACAATTAGCTAAACATGGCGAAGAACAAGCATTTGAGTGGTACAAATTATATCAAATTTTATGCACTTTTGCAATAGGGTCTAATGAAGCTGAACGTTCTTTTTCCACACTTCGCCGAATAAAACCCTGGCAACGTAACTGAATCAGTGATTCTACGTTAGAAACATGTATTAAAGCATCAACATTTGTTGCAAGTTTAAATGATGAAGCTATTCAGTTTATTATACGCGACTTTATAAGTCATCCAGGCAGAGCAAAATCCAGAAACGTTGCATTTTTATGGACAACAGCGATGAAGAGGAACATGGTAGTGATGATAATTAAAGAAATGACTTTTTTTCATTTATTAGAAATTAAAATATTTTCTTAAGTGTACTTTTATAATTTTGAGAACTTAAATCTTGTTAAAGGTTGTCTTTTTGAAAGTTCAGGTAGTCTATATTGATTTTACTTTTTAAAAGTTTAAATAAATTAAAACTTATCTTACTTTTCTGAACAATCTAATCTCTTTTTTAAAGAAAGCTTGTTGTTAGTCTGCCAGTCATAATAGTCTAGTTGTCTGCGAAACTTTTCGCCCCTCCCACTCTTTGAAACAATCGACAACCCTGGTAGTTAGAAAACATAGTTTTAAAAATCAAGCAAGCATTGAGTAAAACATAACTTGTCACTAATATAGTATTCGTGTTACGTACCTGTCTTTTATGCAGTTTAGTATATGTGATGCGATTTCACACCGNCATTCAGGCGTTATGATTCAAATATGAAGCATCTATTGAACTCCATAAATGAAGTGGTCATCAAGTCCAGTCTGTTGTCGGGGAAAGTTCAAAAATGATTCCAAATACTTCCTTCCAGAATGGTTGCAGAATTTTTCAAAGGTATGCACGAACGTGGGGGTGGGTGTGGGTGTGGGTGTGGATGTGGGTGTGGGTGTGGATGTGGGTGTGGGTGTGGATGTGGGTGTGGGGATGTGAGTAGGAACTCACTCCTGGGACACTCACACTTAGAGCACCCACACTCACACCCACACCCACACCCACACCCAAATAATTTTTTTAGATTTGACGATTTAATTCAACAGACTAAACATGGTCCAATAAAAGGAGAAACAAATCAAATTTGAAAAGACATCAACTATTGAACATGATGATCAACTTGTTGAATTTTAAGTTGAATTACTTGTCTTCTTCTAATGAAATCTAATCTAAAAGATCAAAAATTATTCATTGTAATCAAGTTGGTTTGTATACCGATTTTAATTCAACAAAGAACATAAATGGATGTCGTGTCTATTCATTTTCATATCAATGCAAACTTCTTATGAATTTGAATAACTATTTTCAAGATGGTATCTTTAATAAAAATAAGCAATATTCATTTATATTGATTGTATGTCATCAACTCGTCAGATTTAATCTGCGTGAATCATACGCGAATTATGCTGGACAATTTCTCTTCGAAAAAGAAACACTCATTAGTTTCGTTTATTGAAACTCATCATCTTGTATGAAATATTTGCAATAGTAACAACTAATTTCTTCAATAATGTAGTACGTTTTAATTGTACTAATTTGCAGTCTTAATACAAATGATCAATCTATTCGGCTTGTAAATTTTCATCAATATTTTTCTTTTTTCTAAATAGTACGTTCTTTCGATAGAATGTGTTTCAATAAAGAATATTATTGATATTTTGAGAAAGTCAAGTAGATAATTTTGATCATTAACTATCAGCCTACAAATATATTGACATGAATGATGAGCATAAAAAGTAAACTGTGATGTTTCGTCGAAAATTTTTCAAAAAGCTAAGAAATTAACCTTTTTTTGGAAATTTGAAGAGTGTTGATTTTTTCTAAGTGACGACTGTACTTTTTGACAGATGTCATGCTTGAATATTTTATTATCTTCAACGACAGCTGAATAACTCAACAACATTTCCGTTCTCTTCTCTGTATGTTTGTAGTAGGAAGCAAAACAATTATATATATCATTGAATCATATAGAAATCTATGAAGGGTGTGGATGTGGGTGGGAATAAAGAATGAACCTACATCCACACCCACACCCCACACCCACACCCACACCCACACCCACACCCACACCCACACCCCTATGTCACATAGTAGTGGACAAGTTAAGAAAATGAGATTTAAATATGAACAAGAATAGAAGAATAGAAATCGAGTGTCAGAAGTTTAAGTGATTCTGTGTCTTTAATGACATTATTGTAGATTCGTTGTATTGGTAATTTTTTCCATAAATTAAAGATTTTCTAAATAAAAATAATCAGCATTTAGCTAGCTTTCTTGAGATAAAACAACAAAAAAAATGAATTAATTAGATCAAATTTTGTGCAGATAATAAGAACAAAGTCTTTGTGTTCAAAACAACAAGAATATCTCTACAACTTGTATATATTGTTTAATCAACGATAATGTTACATTCAACACCATTCTCTTTTTGTCTTTTCAACTCATCAAGCTCCATACCCACAAGACAACATGTCTTCTTATTACATAAATGTGATTCATACCACCATTGTGACTCAGATAATAAGCCAGGATGATTGTCTGTAATGCGTACCATTATACCTGTACAAATAATAGTAGACTTTGGATCATTAAAATCCATTAAAGGTTTTCCTTGTGCATTGATAACCCATTCGATAACGCTGTTATCTATGTTGGAATCAATTTTAGAGCCAGAAGCCTTCAATGTTTCATAATCAATTTTTATCATATCTTTTGGATGAACACGACATTGCAATACAAATTGGATATAATTTCCATTTTTGAAAAATGCTCTTTCATGTGAAGATTCTATTTTTTTCACTTCAGAATATCTTGGATGACACGCATAAGTAATTGATGGAGTTGCATATATTCCTGGACCATATACTGCTATATTTGCTGGTGCTAATCCACTCAATAAAATCGAGAGACCATGAGAAAATTTCGTACCATGATAACATATACACCATCCTTTAAACTTTGTATAAAAATCTTCCGTAACATAAAACGAATATCTTTTCCATCCAGTAGGACAATAATATGCCTGATTACCCCGATCCAATCCATCCGGAGTGATACCAGTCCAAAATGTTTGATTTGGGAAATATAAATGATTAAATTTTGGATATAGAGTCATGTCAAAGCGAAACGTTTGCTTACTATCTAATGATTTAAGATCACCCATAAACATGAAGAAAACTTTTAACTTAGCTAATTCTTCTTTGATTTTATCGGTAAGTGCATAATATAGAGCCTTGACTTGAATTATTATGGGTTCAGAACCAAGGTTTTTAACAAAATCAAACACTATTTTAATACAACCTTGCTGCATTTTACTAACAACAATATCATTAATATTGAAGAGATCGCAAATTTTTTTGAAAAACGTTTTTGCATCAAACTCCTTCGAATCTTCATCAATAGTAAACACTAATGATGCTGATGTTAATTCAGTATTGTCGTCAAAAATGTTGTCAGATACAGATATGAGTGGTGTATGTGTTATATTATAGTAGTGTTGACATTTTTCATAGTAAGTTTCTTCGGTTGAAGATATCGACTCTGCAGACCATTCAAAATGTTCTTCTACTGGTGTTCTCTTTTCGAATTCTTGATCGTTCATTACTTCAGTATGTTCATTTATTTCTTCGTCTACAAAATGAATTGACAGAGAGTTGAAAAGAGATATACTTTTCATTTGTCTAGAAAGAGTTCATAACGATGCCTATTAATTGATAAAAGATCGATCTGTCTGTAATAATTTTTTTTCGTCATATTACATCTAAAATAGGTGTTTCTGACTTGTTAAATATTTGATTTTCATTTTCTTTAAATAATTTTATCCTTATTTCTAGTCATACTATATTGATTGCAGATTTAACAAAGTTGAAATAATTTAAAATGCCTTAAGATATAGTTACATTAATTTTTTGGCATGTTTGAAGACAGTTATTTTTCAAAACGTCGCTAACATTTAATAAGTTTTTGGAATACGAAACGCATCTATGAGTTACATTTATACAATTCTTCCATTTCATTTTCATGTTTTCCACGAATTCATAATGAAAGTAAATTATTAAAGCGAAAATATCGACCTTGAATTTCTATTTCCTAGATTATGGATAGAATTAACACTGCATTCACGGTAAGCTATTTTCGATATCATTCAAGTTGCAGAATTATGGAAAACTCAGTCTTTCTTCTTCCTCGTCTAACTCAAATGGATCAAGGTTTTCTAAGATTATCATACTAAAACTTCGAATGCTCGTCGTTTTCTTTGTATGAATACCTGTTTTAGTTGTTAACTCATTTGACTCTACTTTCGTGTTAGTTGATTCTATTTGAGATGATTGTGATGGTAATCGTTCTAGTTGTTCAATCTTTTTTGTAATTGGCTGTCGTCGAGACGATCGTGGTGGTAGCAGTTCTGGCAGATTCCTACGAAGATTCCCTTTTGAGTAGACTCTCAGTACTTCATCATGTCGCATTAGTGTCAATGTGTTGATGCGTGTTTCTAGCTTTTCCAAGCGATAAGTGCGGCGCTTTCCAGCATTTTCGCCACTCTTTCGTTCGTTATACATTGTCACAAGCATTTGTGCTCGAGACTTCGTTATGTCTTCACTATATTCATAGATTTTGTTTAAATCACCAGTCCGTCGCGCATTCATATTTTCGGCAAAGCTCAAAAGAAATAATCTAAAATAAAAAAGAATAATATTTTTTGTGTATCAATTTGGCTTGTTATTTATATCATGATATGATTTAAATCGATATATTCTAGACTGTCACATTAATGTCAAGTCATCAGTGAATGAAAGTGGTCTCAAAGCTGCTATATTCTCTTGAACTTTAATATAAGGATAATATAAAAAATGAATTAGATATTATGGAAAATACAAACTCCAAACTGGTACAAATGACAGATACTTATTGTATCTTCATAGTAAATACTCGTCTGAAAATATATATTTATATATCTGTCAAAATCGATGATCATTATCTGAAAACTTAATATTCTATACTAGACGAGCAACTGACATCGAACTCTATGTCCTTTGAACATTTTCTCTTGTCATAGTATCAAGTACTTTCACTGTAGTTTTCTTGTTCTCTTTTTTTAAGTACTTGAAAAAGTGAATAAGAAAAATATAAATAATCTTCCTCTAATCAATATGATATTCGTGATATATCAAGTAACAAAACTATTTACATGCATTTTTCGACTTAGTTCTCTTGAGGTTTTGATAAAGAAAATATTTTCCTGATTCTCTTACCGTAATTCAATATTTTATATCAAACTGCATTGATCAGATAGAAGAAAGACATTCACCCTTCTACGCTAATCCAATCATTCATATTCTACCAGCGTTTTCTGAGTTCATCTAAAGTATTCTCTTGAATTAATTTGTTATGTATATATGTATCATGGTCCGTATCAGACTATCAGATGAACTTTGTCAGTCGTTTACAATCTGAAGCGTCGATTAAAGAAGTAAGCAATTTAATATGACTTCAGACATATGAAGAGAGTGAGAAATTAAGAAATGTGCACGCAGAAACAACTATAAAGATATATCTTATTTAAAAAAAGGCATGTGAAAGAAATGCTCAAATCAATTAGTAGGCTTCGGATTATACTGTTTATCAACAAAATTGCATTAGATTTACATTTTATTCTTTTCGCTATACTTCTCCTATTCAAACGAATAGAAGACTGAATAGAACAGGTTATCTTTTTCGGTTATTATCACAAAGAGTGGCTGGTTGCTTCTTTTTTTTATTACAAAAAAAACAGATAAAGCTTTATTGGCATATACACTTCTGTTTATGATCTTGTTCCTTAGAAAGTTTGTATTTACACAAGATATATTTTGAGAGTCTAAAATTCTGTCATACCGAATAAGAATGAGATAAGAAAACAAAGAATAGAGTATGTCTGCAAATATTTATAGTTGCTTTTCTTTCCACAAACATAAAAACACATTAAGTCAACAATCTGATAAAGGATAGATGTGAATATGATCTACAACAATAAATGTGAGGTGTGTTTAAAGTAGGAACGTAGCTATTTTGTTACTCTTCGTCCTTGATTTATTAATATCTTTTGACTGCTTTATAGAAACAATCAAACTGCAAATATACAGAAAATTTTTGTGATGAATAAATCCATTTTCATCGAGTAATCACTTCTACAAGGTTCGAATTCTGGATTGGCGCTTTTCCTATACGAAATTTCGAAATATTTTTAAGCACAAGATCTACAAAAGAAGCACAAAATACATATTTCATAGATCATTTTTGATATTTTGTACTATAAGTTTAACATAGGCTTTTGTTTTGCATACTACTCAATAGAGAATAAAATTATACTGATAAAAACAGGTTTCTTTTACGAAAATTATTACCACACGATAAAACTTCTATATCACGACAATACTCGATGTGAACTTTTTGAAAAACTATCTGACTATCACATTTATAAGAAGTTAAATAATATCGAGCAATTCGAAGATTATAAAAATAACATGAGTCAAGTTGAAAATTTCTGCAATCGAACAATTAAAGCATTTTTGTGAGTATTCGAACTTTCTGAAGACTATCATTCACAAGAGAAGACATTGATTTTTTTTAACTTCTAATAACTTCTACTACTGGAAATCGATTTTTATAAGTTTATTATACATGAAAAGAAAACAACAAGACCGTTTAGAATTGAAGAAAAATTATAAGAAATCAATATAAATTAAAGGTTAATTTTGAGCTATACCCTAGCAGTCAAAAATAAGCAAATAGCGCGTTATAACGAACGTTATTTTATTTTATTTTAACGAATTTTAACTTTCAACAAATGTCCGAATTTTTTCGTTTTAACAGTTGAATTAATTTCGATTTTAAACTCGTTGTAGGGACTGGAAACACAAACGTTTAACCCCGGTGGTTAAGTAAACGCATTAAAACGTGAAAAATCGGACATTTGTTGAAAGTTTAAATGTGTTGCAGAAAAACATTTAAATGCTTGAGAACTTCGACCGTTGTCTGGCGTATATGAAATAAACGCATTAAAACTCGTAATTTTTGGACACTTTCAACTACTTAAAATGCATTGGAAATTCAAATTTTAACGCATCAATAATTGAGTTTATGAGTACTCCGAAATACATTCAAATTTCTTTCAAAATTTAGAAGTGCCTGTTTTTATTGCAAGTCTTCGTTGTATGCTATCATAATCATAAGACAAATAATAGCTGAAAAAAACGTAGGATATCTTGGGCCTGGATTCGAATACTCCACAACTGGATTCGCTCACAGTTCGGACCAAAGACTAAACTTTGCGGACCAAGATAGAGCTCAACAAGCTCTATCCAATGCACTATTTACTTTTTCCCCAATACTTTTCCAAGCGGGAGAAAAACCCAAAATACTGCAAAAAAAATCAGCAAAAAGTTCGATTTCTTTTGTACAGTGCACCGCGATTCGTACTGAGGTGGGACCAAAGCTTGGCAGCCATACAAACAGATAGAACTCGACGAGCTCTATCGAATGGGCACCTTTCAAGGTATTCTAGGTACTTCCCTTCCTCTAAAATCCAACTACAGCCAGAAAACCTGATTATTCAACGAAAATCCGAGCGAGATTCACTCCCAGCTGGGACCAAACGCTAAAAATGACACAGATCAATAGAACTCGACGAGCTCTATCGAATTGATACCTTTCAAGTTATTCTAGATACTTCCCTCCCCCCTAAAATCCCAATAGACTCCAAAATCTACTGTTTTTACGAAAACCCGAGCAGGATTCGCCCGCACCTGGGACCAAAAGCCGAAAATGACATAAATCGATAGCCCTTGATGAGCTCTACCGAATGGATACCTTCCAAGGTATTCTAGATACTTCCCTCCCCCTAAAATTCCACTATACCCAGAAAATCTGTTTTTTTGAACGAAAACCCGAGCGGGATTCGCTCCCAGCTGGGACCAAAAGCTGAAAATGACATAAATCGATAGCATCTGACGAGCTCTATCGAGTGAACACCATTCACGTTATTCTAGGTACTTTCCTCCTCCCCTAAAATCCCAATAGACTCCAAAACCCAGTGTTTTCACGAAAACCCGAGCGGGATTCGCCCCCAACTGGAACCAAAAGCTGAAAGGTGTGGGTGTGGGTGTGGGTGTGAGTTTGGGTGGGGGTGGGTGAGGGTGTGGGTGTGGGTGTGGGGGGGTTTGGGTATGGGTGTGGGTGCGAAGTTCGAGACCACCCACACCCACATCCACCCACACCCACCCACACCCACACCCACACCCACACCCACCTACACCCACACCCACCCACACCCTCATAAAATAGTTGATGGTGGAGAAAAATAATTTCAAATTAAAAAGCAAAAAAAATGATTATTATCGAGTATATAGCAATAATTATAAATAAAATCGAGCGCGCTTAAATGAAAAAACAATATTTTCGTTTTTTAATATATTTTTTTAATATACAAATAAATAATAAATTCCCTCTCTTTTCGTCGATTTTCAATGAAAACAACTGTAGTTGATAAGAAGTCTTTCAGTATAGAGATGATGCGACAGGTAACAAAGCTAAAGGTATACGTGAGTTCCACATTTAAGCTCCGCAGGAGCTGCACTAACAAGCTTTTTTATTTATACTTTTAAATTAAAATTATATTCAATATAAAATAATATAACGGGTGGCGCAGATTAAATGAACCTCTCAGTATTTTGCATATTTGTCATCTATAATTCGGCATAGAAAAAAAACTTTTTTTATGGAAAGATTCCTCGTCAAATTCTCTACAAAACGTATATATTTTTATTATGTCAAATGGTTTCCATTATTTTGTGACATGCGACACAATCGATCGGTGCAAGAAACACAACTTTCAAACAAGAAGTTTTTAGTAGATAGTTCCATGAGTAATTAACCAAAAAAACGCAATGTATTCAGAAAATTTTTCTCCCATGCGAGACTTTTTGTGGACCTTTTTTCGCTGAATATTTTGGTAAAAAAACTATTTGAACTTCATTGAGAAATGACGATGTTATAGTAGAAATACTAAACAAGCTCGAAATACAGTTTTTTCTGATCAATAAGCAGAAGAAGTCGACTATCGTGTCGTAAAACGACTGTATTGTAGGGATATTTGAGATAGTAAGTTTTGTAGAGGAAAGTTTGTTCTACAAAACTCTTTAGGTAGTTTCTCAGATTCAATCGAAGATTAGGAATAAAGCTCGATAGAACATTGTAAAGAGTATTTATCCTAAAAGCTGAGGATATCAGTTTTTTTTATATGAGTATCGTATACAATGTTGTATCGAGATTTATTCATAGTATTCAAATGTATTTGAAAATTCGACTATACGACGTTGTAGAGCAAACATTCCTCTACAAGACGTACCGTGTCCAATTTCTTCATAGTACAGCAATTTCAAAATATGCTAATCCTACTAAAAACTTCTTGTTTGAAAATTGTGTTTCTTGCACCGATCGATTGTGTCGCATGTCACAAAATAATAGAAACCATTTGACATAATAAAAATATATACGTTTTATAGAAAATTTGACGAGGAATCTTTCTATAAAAAAAGTTTTTTTTCTATGCCGAATTATAGATGACAAATATGCAAAATACTGAGAGGTTCATTTAATCTGCGCCACCCGATATATTTCTGTATTAATAATAAAGAGATATGCAAGTTTTTATATATTTTAAAATAGATTCAAAATTGATGTTAATGTTCAAAGAATTTCTACGTAAATTGTTTTCTGATAAATATCAGTTAACATCTCTTGAACTTAATATACCAAATGATCATAATTATAATGATATTCATGAATGTCTTTCAATAAACAATCCAGTTATTATTCATTGTATCACTCTTCATCATTTACATATTCATTTAATTTATGGTTATTTTCTTGAAGACATTATTAAATATGTACCTGCTCTTCAAACTCTTTCAGTTATATTCAAAGATTCATTAATGCAAAAACGGTTATATGAGTTGAAGATGAAACGATTTCTATCAATTGATTCCAATTGGTATGAAAATGAAAAGGTAAAAAAAACAATTCATAGAAGAAATCTATTCAATCTTGAATAAAAAAAATGAATAGACTTTTAAAATAATATAACGTCAAATGAACTATTATCATCGTATTAACATGAGAAGATTCTTTCTAAATGTTATCTCAAATGGATTTTATATTAGTTCGATTTAAATGTAACTATTCTTTTTTTTTCCTAAACAGTTTTAGAGATTTTAAAATTCAGAGAAGTAAAAGTCAATCGAATAAATTGTTAGTTAAAATAGATAAATCAAGGTGAATAATAATATTTAATAATGATTATTGTTTGAAAGTATCTCTTTAGAAGTTAATCATTCAAAAAAAAAAAGAATTTATTTGTATGAAAGCTAGACTATTATTATCACTCAGTGAAAATCTCCAATGCACTATTATAGCTATACCGAACGTTTCTGTCTCTTACTAATTGAAAACAAGAAATAGTATCTAATACCTTTATAGAATTTTCTTGAAAATGAACGATGAATATAATTATATACAATTAAAAATTGATTTGTTTATTTACTTTAATTCAGAGCATTTTGCTTGTTCTATTATAACGAGAGTATTCTTTTTGTTAACTAGATTTAAATAAATAAATACAGAAATTATCTTGTCCATTACTACTACTATTTCTGTGTTTTGAAATTTACGAAAAGATTTCTAGAGGCGCTTGAAGAGATTTTTTGTCGAAGAAGAAAGACAAGATAACATGTTCTATATAAAAGAGCATGCTGATTAAATTGATTTATAAACCTTAAACTAAATTTTGATTTCTCAAATAGATCATTAATCTTTTTAATATTTAATTGTTGAGCTACATCTTAGTGAATATTGACAATAACTCAAGTATGTAAATCGTATTATTCTTAATGAATATTTACTGTAAAAATATAGCGTTGAAATTTTTCTAAGCCAATCATAAACTAGAAAAATAATAATTATATTAATATAGATCTTACTCATATTTGACACGAATCAATACAGATACATAATTGACATTTATTGATTGCGATAAATCTCAGTTCAAATATAGACTTATCATTAATATATTTTTCAATGTTCAAATAATAAAGACATTGCCAATTGATAGTAGAAATCGTTTTCTGAGTAGGATTTCTCGTAATTGTCCATGATTCTCTATGAATTTCTACGTGTTTTTATTTTGATAAAATATTGGAAAGTGAAATAATTCCTATGAATAAAAAGAAAGAAAAATTTTTAATTTCTGAGTAATAATTTATTTTAGATGCCAAAATTAAAATCTTTCAGTTTAAAAAGTATTATATTAAATGATTGTGAATTAAATTATTTTAAGTGGATAATTAATAATGTATATCATGTTGAAAAGTTAAAAATTCGTTTAGTTATAAAAAATAAAACGAATGAAAATAATATTATTGATATAAATTATCTTCGTAAAAATATAATACCTGCTATATTAATTAATTTGGTTGATTTCGATTTTTATATTGTATCGAAATGCAAATTATTATTCGAAAATAATATTGAAAAAATAATTGATTCATTTAAAAATAATCGAATTTCGATTGATCGTTATTGGAGAAATGTTCAATGTTATTTTGATAGAATTTCCTGATGTCAACATATATCATCAAATCGAATAATCAAACCTAAATTATTTTATGGTATTATGTGAGACATTTTTTTTGATTTTTTTTCATAATAGATATATAGGTTTTCTTATTATTATAATTATTATTTTTAAGAGATTATCGAATGATTTTTGATTGGGAAGATGTTAAATATATGAAAATTGATGTATGTCCATCAATTTGATAAAATATATCCTTGTATTAGATCCATCCAATTTAGTATATGTAAGTGTTTCATTATGTTAAAAGACAGAAAAGAGATTTGTTTACATTGGATTATTATTCGAAAGAAAATCTCTTTTAAAATCTTCATTTATTTTGTCTTTTTTTCCAGGACATCATAAACGTGTTAGTTTCAAAGAATATTCAGTATTTGTACAGTCAACAAGGAATATAATAGATTATCAATTGACTGATATTCATTTTCGATATGTTACAAGGCTTGACTTGGGATCTGATTTTTGGCGTGATGGTAGTAAATTACAATTTTATATTTTAGACTATTGAAAATAATTTTTCTTCTCAATTCTCTCTCATATTCATACAGAAATATTTCTGTATTATTATCTAGAAGATTACTTTGAAATAATATTTGATTGATTGATAGGGATAATACACGACACCTGAAGACTAGTAGTAGAGGCTATATCTAAGTGAGCCATTTAATTCAAGGGGGGAAAAACTCAATGCGAGCCATTCGAATGGATCGGAATGAATTGGAATGGCTAGGAATGCCCGAATGAAATTTGTCCCCCTTGCGTTTAAATGCTCTCCAACATATTTCAATATTGAAAAACTGAAAAGTAATTATACATCGTTAATTATATCAATTACATCGATAAAGATTATAAAAAATTAATTATCCGTGTAACATGAAACTAAACGAAATTTGACACTTTAGAAGTTCTATTCAAGTTAAGAAAATATTTCTACTGAAATCAAATAAACAAAATCCATGGAAAAATTGACTTAGTTTAATTATTTTTGACATATCCAAGATAAATGCGCGTACGAAAAATGTATTCATATAATGATGTTTTCATATGACGATGAGTCAGAATCTTCAAAAATTTGTTTTTGTTCCAGTCATCGTCGAAGTTCCATCAATAACAGAGGGTGTGAGTGTTGATGTGGCTTAGAGCAAGAACATCTACACCCACACCCACCCACACCCACACCCACACCCACACCCACACTCACACCCACACTCACACCCACACCCACCCCCAGTAGGGGGGTGTTTATGTGGCTGATTATTCGAATAATCGAATGATACGTTGGATTCAAGGAGCCTCACAGGGAAATATCATTGTTGGTGGAAATGGCCAAGGAAATCAATCAAATCAACTCTATGGTCCCACGGGTTTGTCATTTGATCATGACGGCAATCTCTACGTGACTGATAACGGAAATAAACGAGGACAAAAGTTCAACATTGATTGGAGTTGAGCATTTCTAAAAAATGATAGTACTTTAAACGTTCTCACCATTGTCTTGTGCATGTCATCAAATAATAAAATCGTTTCGAATAGAATCATCATGAATCAAGTAGAATAAACTTATCTTCTGTCAAATTCATTCAGAGATTTCTGTTTCAGATGTTTTGATACTTTCTCAATAGAAAATCAATAACTTGAGAATTCCGTTTGCAACATAGATGAATGTCGAAGATGACTTGAACATCAATCCATCGAACAGTTGAAATTCTCGATATACAGTGAATCATCATTTAAAAGTAAACCTCAATGATATAAAACTTGTTCGTATTTCTTGTCTCTTCACAAAAATGAACTGCATCGTTGCAAAGCATTAATATCATTCACAAAAGGGAAATGTATTGTGTTGAAAGGTTGATTGTTAAGAAATAAGAAAAAAGATAATGTATCGGCGACCATCATTGAGGATTTGAACGACAATGATAGAAAAATATTGTGTCGAAGATTCGTCGAGAAAGCGACAAAAACGCTACCCTTATCACAAAAATCAAATATTAGGTCACATTGTGACTCAACGAGCGATTTGTTTTATTCGATTGTTAGTCAGATGTCTTTATTTTTTTTGTCCGGCATCTGGGCACGGATTAATTCGTTTCGATAAATTCGGTGATCAAAGCGATCCGTTCTCCACGTGACAAATAGTTGAAGATCTGACTGCATAACCAAGAACAATGTCAAATATCTGAGTAATAATCAAATTTCATTCGATCTTAGTTCCATTAATAAGTTTTCTCTCGAACATGGTGATCAATGATGGTTCAATGAAATGAAAAAAGTCGCTTTCGCATTTCTTCCTTATAAAACACCGAAGAGAATACAAATCCACTTAAAAGGAAGAATATTTTTTGAATGGTTTCTCGTATTCAAAATGAAACTTTCTATGCTTCGAGACTTATGATGAAATAAGAAGAGAAATCCAAATGAAAATCGAACAGATTATTCACCAGTGCACGGTGAAATATTATAGCTTATTTTGTCGACGTCGAACCGCAATGATGATAATGAAACTAGAAATGACTAAATAATTTCATGACGATCAGAATTTCAACTAAATCAAAGTTTGAGTACATCGCGTAAGATGATTGTGATCAACACGAAAATTTACAACTCTCAGAGAAATATTCGTTTGAAAATATCATAATGAAAAAGTGAGAGAAGAAGAAAGTACTGATATTTCTTCCTTTCAAGATAACAATATGAACCGAGATGATATATCAAAGCGACAACAACGAGAGTAAGCAGTCAGAGTTTGGGTGGCACTGATGGTGGAAAGGCAATGGCTGCGAGAAAAGTGGTTCACGACTTCATGCCATGCAATATTATCCAACTGCATAATCCAGATCGATTTGAGTTCGATTTTAATTCGACATTTTTCAATGAATATCGAACAGAATTTGTAGAAAGTCGGATCTGATCTATAAAACAAAATTTGTCAGCGATCGAAACCATTGTTCTTTATGCCAGACCTTCAAAAATATCGACGAAAAAATCGTGCATTGTCAACAGTATGACGTAATCTACGATTCTAGTAGACGAAATATTTATTCAATGCGCGCTGAAGTTCCCTTTATGATGTGACAGAAAAGTCGAAAATCATTGTTAACAAGTTCTTCATTTCCAATCAAGTCAGACGATGACTGACAATTAATAAGAAATGGATAATTGACCCGCTTAGTGAACAAGACTTTGCCAAATATTTTAGCAATACAGCAAAATCATTTCTTGATACGAGAATTTTCCAAATGATTAGTGCAGGTGTTAAGAAAAATTGATTTCTATTGAAATCGAAACCGCAAAATCCATGTCTAGTTCAATGATATTTATCGATAGTGATCATCTCGATATAATGCTGTTTCAACTTTTCGTGGGAGTTCTTGAGAATTCCCAAATGCGTTCGACAGGTTTCAGAAAAGTTTGCAATAATTGATTGACATGGACGACAAGAGAAATAAAGAGGAATTTTGTCAATTACAACATCATTATGAAAACAAGATGCAATTGTGTTCATAGAAAGAAATCTTCTAAACAAGACACAAAGTTTTTATGTATTCGGAAAATTAAAAAAAAAGTCAGAGAAAAAATTAATATTCTGTTGGTATTCAGTGAAAAATGATGCATCAAAATTAAGAAGAAATGCAAGACAAAAATCTTCGTGATCGATTGTTAGTCTTATCCGTATTTCTGATCGAAGAGAAATGAACAAGGATTAGTGTGTTGTTGCCTAATTGCATTGGTGAATTTTTGACATTGATTGTCAACTATATATATCAATTTTAGTTGCTACATGATGAGGAGTCACATATTCAAGAATTTATATCGTCTGTTAGTGCCGAATTGCAACAACAATTAGTTTTGAGTCGAGTTGAAGATTCTGCTAGAAATGTTAATCGATGTTGATTTTTCGTCATTATTGAAAACTTATTGTTTTATAGATGTCGATGAGCATGATAGAATGAATTTAATCAATCGAAAACTTATTGAAAGAAAACGCCGTAAACATCATCGTCGAATTTTAGTTCTATTTTGATAATGTAAATCGACTCTTGTTTGGATTTTATTAAATGTAGTTCATGGATCTTCATTAATATTAAAAAATGATCAGATAACTTGAGAAACATTCGAGAGATGTTCGTTATATTTATTGCTTTTCTCTATTTCATTACTCAAAGTCTTCATCTCATTTTTCTAGCTTGGTCAAATTTTTCTTGTGCAACTTTCTTGTGCGATAAGATTTTTCTCTTATATCAGTTCTCTTGAAATGTTATATTTTTCAATTAGCATTTATTAGCATCGTTCAATGGGAAATATTGTTTGCATACTTTAGGTTAAATAAAAATCTGACAAATATTGTTTTTGAATTGATTCTTTCGTTAACATCTTTTTTTTGTATCATTTGTAATCATCAGTCATTTGCTCCATCTTCTATGTACGTCGTTCATTGTCACTTATGATTCCATCCGATATTGTTTGTAACTCAATTGTTGTCTTCTCTGATGAGACGTACGTCTTTTCTTTTTCCTTCGACCCAATCAATCAATATAACATTAGTGTAGTTAAGAGATGGACATCGAGGAGACTTATCCTTGACATGATCAACTTGAGTTCCCGATAGACCTTTGGTTACTAGTATGGCTGTCGCGAGAGAAGGAGAACATTCCTCCTCACTGTCTCTTGCGAAATCGAAACTTGCCAGGTGAATAACACTAATAAGTATTTAGGAACTATTATACTCAATCGAAAACAAAAAACAAAACTGAGAACCGCTAGCTTCTTATGGCATTTATTTAGTGAAGCACGTCTATTTGACACCACTGTGCCCAATATCATCACATTAATTGATACTTTTTTCTTCAAACGACACAATTTCTGCATAAAAGTCAGATGGAAACGAAAAGATCATTCAACATTTTGTATTGACTACACATGTTTTCAGCATAATCTGTACCAGATTAAAATGTGCAACATGATGAAACTAATTTCATTATTTG